GTGTACTCAGACCAGTAATATTTGGAGTCACAGGTTTTTGCCATGAATATTTGTGGGTCAGAAGATAAAAAGTTTGGGAACCACTGACCTATATGAGTAATTTGGTCATAACAAAATTTTCACAAGCTGGCACAAGTTCTCTAAAACGTTATAGTGTGACAGGGCCTTAAAATGCTATTTTTTATCATATCAAGCTGTTATTTTTGGTATTTTTCATTGACTCATCTGAAAACAGTTTTAAAAATTGTGTTTTTGTGAAAGGCAGGTAATAACGAAGTGCCTAAAAATCCATTAAAAATCTATTCTTCACTAAGTTGGTTGTATGTTTTGACACATAACCTCGTTCATCCTGTGAGTTTTGGATCATTTTTACTGGTCAGATGACTGGAGCAAAGCAAATGAGAGCAGATAAAGGCATAGCATTCCTTCAATGAATGAATATCACAGATTACCTTTCATCTCAGGTTTTGAGATGTGGTTCGTGAGGTATTTGAGTAAAGGATAATTTTTTTAACGCTGGTTGACTTTGGTAGCCAGCTTGAATCAGATCAACTCCAAAGGTTTATATTTTGTGCACCCAAGCAGCTGATTACTTTGTGCATGTTTTAATAAAACTCATTCAGTTCATGGGATATTTTGGTAACAGAGTGAAATGTGCAAAACATCATTATCTGCCTTTTGGTGGCAGAGGACAACAAAACAAAAACATACTTCTTAAAAAAAGACAACAATCATGAAGGAAAAAGAAGATAAAGTTCAAATAAAATCTTAGGACATTAAGAAAACACTGATGAAGGTCACTTTGAAGGAGTTTAAGAAATTCTGGCTCCTTAGGAGCACAATATGAACGATGAATCAAAACTTCTGAACGAACATCACACTAAATATGAACAAATCAAGTCTTGGTTTTGTTTATATATGACCCCTTTTACCTCTGTTTGATTCTTGAAAGACCACAGACTTCCCTAGTTCAACTCCCAGCCTCCTGCAAACAAGAACAGTTTGTATCTGCAGGTATTCTGTCAACTTAATGAGTCAAAACATTTAAGGAATCACTGTTTCTAATCACATGTACCACCTGATATAATTGTATGGTGGCTTAGACTAGCTACAAAACAAAACACGCCATGACAGATTTGCTACATATCTAGCAGGCTAGTAGTAAATATTAGGAGCTCACTCTGTGATCTTCTTTGCCAGTTCTGTGCACGCTGCGGACGAATTGGCGGAAAAGACGCGGTATCCAGTTTTAGCGACGTTCATTCTTGAATTAAAGCCTTTATTTTTAGGTTCCTTATCAGTAGCGCCACCTTCCTTAGAGCCGGTCTGACTGCGTTGTTTTGTCTCTCTTTGAGCTAACCGCTGCCGCTCGCTAGCCCGAAGAGGTGAATTACACGAAAGGACCGACAATTGTTGCGGCACAAACTGAACGAAAACACGGCCACAAATAAAACACATTAACGTTCGTGTGTCTGCTGACTCGTRGTATTAACATTTGCAGACAGATAAATGACCATGTCTAACAGGTTGCGCGATAATCTATTAGCTTTCTAAAACTACGGCGAACTCGAAGGGTCAAAATTGTCTGCTGCGCTTTGCAGGGTTTGGAATCGCCTCTAATAACTAAAATATTCCAGAGGGTGGCAGCAAAGGATCACTGATATTTTTATTAAACTCTACAAAAACAAAAGAAAGTTTAGTGAATTTTCTGAAATAGGTAGTGGATGAAAGTAGTTGTGACTTAGTTCTTTATTAGTTTTTTAATTACCATTCAAATTTTGATAGATGTAATATACCGTACCATACAGTTGTACTTTGTATTATGCTTTATTATCCAACGATTTTTATTGAAGCATTATCAGCCAGATTAATCAAAATGGTGTTTCTGTTTAAAAAAATTAAATAACTGAATTTTGCACATTTCTTACATGAAAACATCATGTGCTAAAACAAACAATGAGCTAAAATAAACAGTCTAATAATACACTCATACATACACTTTACACATAAACCAAGTACTGACCTATATAGCTCATTAGAATAGTCGCCTTCAAATCACAGGATCAGGCCTTTGAGTCACCAGCCCTGCAGGGTCAAAGTAAACCTACACATGAGCTGATGTACTTATTAGTATATCATTGACAATCAAAAATATTGTATTTTGAGTCACAATGCACTGCACACACACACACACACACACACACACACACACACACACACACACACACACACACACACACACACACACATGATATACATAAATTGGAGCCGTGTTTTCCATCTTTATACAGTCTAATTGACAATAAAGCGAAGTAATTCACTATGTTAAAGCTTAAGCTACCTGTGCATTTTTTTTATTTGAAATCTACACATCAAACTTTACAACAGCATGGTTTTGTAGTTAAAAAAATTGTGTGCTGAACTAGCTTGCTTGCAGTCCAGACCTCTCACAAACTGAAAACATTCAGAAAACATTCAATATATAATTTTCATATTATATGACAATCCAACCTTAACAGCAAATACACAATTAATCGTTTCAAGAATTTAAAATTAGAGCTTGAGTTTCTATATGATCTTCCGCCAGGTTGTATTTGTCCTCTGATAAGCACAAGGCTCTTTACAGTAGGGCCACAGTAACTTGAAGCATGCTGAGCAAATTTGGATCTAAGTCCAGTTAAAGCAAAAAGCCCTGCAGCAGATGAAGCGTGAGCACTGTTTTCACTTTGCTCAGCCTGTTTTGAGCTACTGGCTCGGATGTTATTGCTCCAACAGATTTCTCCATCACAGACCCAAAGAAAGTATGCAGCATTTGGCTGCGAACTCATGGAAGACCCTGATCTTTCACAAAAAGTAGGGTCTCATCTGCTCGTTTTTCCTCAGACATCCTTGGTGTTCCGTTTATAATCCAACCTATTGTCTAGATAAACAATCAGGTTTTATAAGTCATTCTTTTGCGTTTAGGTCATTCCTCTCCCTGCTCCTTCTCCAGCTGACTCTCATGTCTTTTGTCACAAACTAGTGGCCTGTTCATAATGCTTCTATCCTGTTTCACAAGCTCCTTCTGCATACTTTGAGGTACAAACGCATTCCTGATTTACCCCGCTCATATGTACAGGCCTACTTCAGTAACTGTTACTAATGCATCAGGAGTCTCACTAGAAGATTGCATCACCTAAAGCAGGGGTTCTCAATTTTTTTGGGTCTGGGGACCCCTTACAATGGTGAAGAAATTCCAGGGACCCCCCTTAATAAACCCCATGCTGTTAATGTAAAATAATTTACCGTTATTTTAACCCCTGAATGCCATGGTAACAGTGTTTTTGTTTGGTTTAGTATGTTTGCTTTACTACAGCATTATTCCCCATATGCATTTTTTAAAATAAAAACCAAATTAACAATTTCTTGGAATTTTTTGAGGACCCCCAAGACACGACTCACGGACCCCTGGGGGTCCTGGGACCCCAGTTTGAGAACCTCTGACCTAAAGAATGTACAGTTTTCTCTGGATTTCATGTATAGATTATTATTTTAAGAAGAATGGCTTACGTATGACTGCACTAGTTGGACATTGTTGTGTCATATGTTTTTTTCTTTTTTTCACTAAAGTGTCTGATCTTTAAATTAAAAAATCTCGTTTGTCAGGAAGTAAACCCTTTAGAAACTGGTCTAATTAGCATTAAGCTATAAGATACTCAGTCACAAGGTCAGATGGCTATAGACACAACTGCAAGCAAGCATGAGTCTTAAGGTGGGCAGGTCAAAACTTCCTAAAAACTATAATTTCAGTACCCAAAGAGAGGCTCCCAAAGTTCAAGGCAAAACAAAAGAAAACCAAGCAAAATAGCAAGGGTTTAAAGATATTCACAGCACAGAAACAATATCTTTACAAGTTGCTAATGATGTTTTGTTAACTACAGGTTCAGGAAACTCTCTTTAAAAGCCAGGAACAGAGAAACAGATGGTTACTAAATGGAAACAGGTGTCAAAACAGAAGAAACTGAGGACATCTGGTGGTATAATTCGAAAAACAAACTAAAAAAAGATTCAGTAATTCAAACAGCCAAAACATAACAAAAAGAGCATTCAATTACCATGACTTTCTCACCTGTAATGATAGTTCTTATGGAATTATACTTATAGAACAACACACTGTTCCATAAGTACGATCATGACTTAGCATAAGCTGCATTCGAAGAATATGACACAGCTGTCATTTGCCAAGAAATTGGCACTTCCATTTATGGCACATGTCAACCTTGAGCACAGTTTGTTCTGTTCACAAGAAACTGTTATGAACTGTAGCCTACTAATGTTTAACAAGGATTTGTACATACCACCTGCCCTTCAGTGACAGTTCTCAGTCTCAGCTTTTGTCATAAAATGRCTTATCTGTTCTTCTGTTTACTAACCTTTTGTTTTTACCTAGGCTAACTGTAAAGCAGAAACATGTTTTTTTAAGACAACACACGTGAGACGTGCCTTCCTACTGAGAACAACTGCCACCATAAAGCTGGACATTGTATGTGTGGGTGGATATGCACATTAACTATTAAAGGCCAAGYAGTCCTTGAAGGAATGCAATTTATTATTTTTCTTTTGCCGTTATTTAACCAGGCAAATGCCATTGAGATCACAGATCTCTTTTGCAAGGGAGGCCTTGGCCTGAAGGCAACCTATTGTACAGGTTTTTGGTCTGTGGATGGAACCAGAGAAAACCCACATGAGGAGAACATGCAACCTCAGCTCAGAAAGACCCCAAGTCCAAACCAGGGGTCAAACGGCGGACCTTTATACTGTGAGGCATCAGTGTTAACCACTGAGCTGTCATGCACCAAATATATGTTGAGTCATAGCTGTTTTGGTCAAATATTATGCACCCTATACATCACTGTGAGATCTTATGAGATGGGTTTATCACCAAACAAAATTATTGGGTTGACTAGCTGTTATCACACAAAATTTAACTCCATATTTGGAAAATTATAGACATTTTTGTTTTGGTTAGCCTTGGTGGCCATCTTAAATTGGCGTGACTCTATGGTAATCGATTGTAGATGTACAACCATTATTTTCTATGTCCAATAACATGAGTTACTTTGCTAATGGACCAGAATTAATCCCAACTGTTATTGGCAAAGTTTTAAAAATTGTTGCACCAAGTGTGGGGCTCAAAGTACTGCATGGCTTGGGGATCATGTAAAGCTACAACCACACCAAATATTAGCTCAGTATCTGTGAAACTGAGTTATAGCCATATTGGTGTAAGGAAATTTGGACATAGGAAATTGGATTTACTCCAAAATTTAAACAGCTGTAGATGATTTTTCTTTAGAACTCTCATTAAAATCCATCTAGTGGTTCATTAGATATTCTGTGAACAGTCAAATACAATAGACTTTGATATTTATTGGCAAAGTTTTAAACATAGATCTCCTTCAGTCTCCAAGAGTTTAGAGTATATGTGTAGGGAAGAAGTCTCCACTACCAAACCAAATTTAAACTCAGTTTCGGTAAAACTGACTGAGTTGTCACAATTATTGTGTTTTCAAATGTTGTTTATGTGTGCGGACATCTCGAATGTGATCGACTCCAAAATGTAAACATGTATAGATGCTCATTCAATGATTTCTTACTGAAAGTTTCATTCAAATCTTTTCCGTGATTCATGAGATATTTTCCAACAAACACATGGGCGCTTGCACAAATATAAGAAAAATTGCATGATCTCATCCATAAGAGAAGTTAAAACAAAAATGACTGCCATATTTCTGATGATCTAGATATTTTATGTTTATGTAATCTTTTAGATACTCTAAAGGTACAGATTGTACTGCTTTATCTCATAACACCATATTATTTTACGTCTATGCTCACAATGGACGCGTGACTTATCTGTTTTTTATCAGGATTTGTGTCTGATCTTGTTATTTTTGCATCAAATATCATCTACGAAGGTAAGGTGGACAAAGGCGGGAATATGAGTCTCGTGAGTGGTTGGGGTGGGGGGGCGTGCAGAGTCGGAAAGGAGTGTAAAAAAAGAGAGACCACGGAGGCTCCTCCTCGTTCAGCTGGGTGTATTTCTTGTGTTTTCTCAGCCGGTTTCTCACTCACACTCTCCTCTCAGCTGAGATTCAGAGAGCAGAGCAGAGAGATCCTCACAGGGAAACAGGGGGTGGAGGGGAAAAAATAGATTCCATCGTTTCTCACTCAGAAAGAGCAAACAGGAGGGGTGAGAAGACCAAAGAAAAAAGAAAGAAAGAAAAAAGGTAGAAATTGTATTTATTTTGGGGGGGAGGGGCACTGTCATCAGCCCTGCCTGCTGCATGTGCTCAGCTCACTTACACTCACACACATACACACACACACTGTTTCCAGATGGAGAGGAAGCAGGGAGAGGTGGACCACCTGGAGCTGGAGCGACCGAGCCCTCTGACTGACAAGGAGAGGGTGATGATCCAGGACTCGTGGGCCAAAGTCTTCCAGAACTGCGAGGACGTAGGGGTGGCCATACTGATCAGGTAAAGGCTCTTGATTTGCACATTTCAACCCCTGCTTTACTTCAGCTCAGTGATATATTAATGCACCTGCTGGAGTCACTGGGTGACCTATTTTTTTTCTTCCCCCCAGTAAAAAGCAAAAGATTTATGTCTAAGCCAGGCAAGTGTCCAGGCTGGGATTTCCTTCCATAAACTTTAATAAGCTTGTTGCTCTTGCCTCGCTCTGTTTCCTAATCCTATTCATCAAAGGAACGAATCGGATGATAAACACCACGATCCATCATCCAGACTTCTTTGGTTCCCCGTCATGTTTTTGAATGAACCTACGACGGCGTGACTCCATGTTCCACGAAAACACAGAGGCTCTAACAGGTTAATCTAATATTCTCGGTCCGCCACGTGAACGGTCACTTTATCTTATTTACATTCCTCCCTTTGCAGACCAGTTGGAGGATTCCTGCACTYGGTGCCACCTCTCTTAAACACCCAGAGAGGAGAAACTGATGTAAAAGTCCACCATCTGCAAAGCCTTTGACAGATTTTCATGTGCAGAGAGTCACGGCATGCCTTAATAATCCCTTTTGATTGCAAATGATTGAATGAAAGTGGGTGACGGCACATTCATCATTGGTGAAGGAATTTTTCTTTTCCATTTCACAGACTGCTAAATAACAGGGTTCAGCAGCAGCACATTCACAAAAAAGCTCTCTGGGACTCCCCCCCACCAAGTGAACCTGCCAGAGGGAAATAAATATGACTCCACCTCAATCGTATTTTACCTTAAAGTACATTATGTTGCAATGGCCTTTTGACATTCAGGTGTCTGAGTGATGACTGAAAATAACCCTAGAAAGAAAATCTCGATTAGGCTGTAAATCAAAGGGACACAGAAAGTTCACGCTGTTGATTTTACATATCAGGGAGTCCTGTAATATAATACTTAGGTTTTGTTTTCTGCCTGACTTTATCAGTCTCTCATTGGGTTGTGGAGGAATTTTGCCCCACTCTCCTTCACATTGCTTTAGTTCATTGAGGTTTGTTGGTATTTTCCTTTTGAGAATATCATGGTTGACTAAATGGCTTTAAGGTGATCAGGACTAAAACGATCACTCCTCCACCATCATGCCTGACGGTCATTATGAGGTGTTTATTCTGATACACTGTTTGGTTTTCATCAGACATGATGCTGTTCAGCCAGGGCTGCCTCTTTGCCTCCAAACCTGGGTCTCAATGCTCAGTCATGGAGAGAAGGGTCTCTGGTCTATTTTGCTTTTTGAAGATGATGTGGTACCGTTAGCCTCTTCTTCAGGCCATGGCTTATGATGTGCATTGGAGTGATGTGCAGCTAAGATGAGTATCAGCTGACTCTGAGGCTATGGGTTGGGGGCGTTCGCCTGAAGCAGAAAAATCCAAGGATCTCAGAGCCTCGTTCACAGCTGATGCTACGGATAAATTTGGAATCATTTGTGGTAATTAATGTGTTGGTCTGATTTGTGACAAACCTAAAAGCGTAGCTTTTTTGTACATTAAAATATCAATTTACGGTTGTGAGGTATTGGTTATGAAAGAAAGAACACAAACGTTTCAACTGAGCTTCTTTCGAAGGGTTGCCAGATTCAGTGTAGAGATAGGATGAGGAGCTCCATCAGGTGTAGAACCGCGGCTCCTCTACATTGAACGGGGTTAGCTGAGGTAGTTCAAGCATTTGATTAGGATGTCTTCTTGTTGCATTTATTTGGAGATATTTGGGCACATCCCAGTGGGAGGGGATCCCACGGCAGACCTAGAACTTGCTGGAGGGATTACATCCTCTCTAGCTTGGGGTCACCATAGGATTCCCCATGGGGAGTGTTGTGAGGGAGAGGGATGTCTGGATTTTCYTCCTGGACCTGTTGCCTTAGTGGCCCGTCCATGAATGACGGTAGGAATTRGATGGATGTGCTAACTGAAGCCTGTAGAATCTCAGTGGAACTCTTGGATTTTTAGCAATTTTTCCAGTATAACAATTTCACTGATGATGTCTTTCTGCCCTTACATCCTGTTTTACTCCAGAGCACCAATCTGCCCAAACTCTGACTTTGTTTTTGTTAYGTAATTAAGGACTTGGTGGACTCTGTTGTGTGTTTTTGTACACCTGAGACTGGAATTGAATGATTTTAGAACTGAACAAAGACCAGACCATTTCTATTTATGTTCTGATATTAAATTTTCCTAGACTGACTGTAGAACCTGTTCTGTTGAACTTCAGTGCTAATGCTAATCCTTCAAACTCATCATCATTTGGGGTTAGCAGATAAGATCCACAGTGGCAAATTGTAATGCTCCTTTTCCTGAAATTAGAAACTGTCTTTCAATTCAGCTCTTCAATTATTCTTGAAATAAGATAAGAAAGGATTAGGAGCCCACTGACCACAGAAAACTCTAATTAGGCTATTTATATGCAACCACAAGTCATGCAATTAGAAGGCAGAAAGATTAAACAATGTCGCTCCTCATTAGCTCGCAGTGAAATGAGAATATGGGGCTTTGCCACCTTCAAAAGCCTTTCGCCCACAGCTCAGAAATCATACACTGACTTCCTCCATTTCACATGTAAAATTCTCCTATCCAAGCGTATATGCTTCGGATCTTTCAGAGAAAAAAAAAAAACATTTTGCTTCCTTTGCTTGCAGTTGCTGCAGAGGCAGAAGGAAATTGAATACCTTGAGATGACAGCCAGAAACCAGATGCTTTGGCCCTCTTCCCAGACTGTGTGAGGGGTTGAGCTTTTAGGCCTCACTACAGTACCTCTGAGGGTCAAGCAGAGATGTTAATTAAAGAAAATATTTTTGAATGGACCATTTGTTTTTGGAAAAACAAGCATAGTTTGGAGCTGGTCCCAGAACTCCACCTGATATGAGAATGGCCATAAAACATGAAACACTAGCGAGTTTTTAAYGGGCAATATTATGTGTTTCTCTGGCATATATTTAAATACTATACCATAATAAAGTATCTGTCACCTTTAGCTGTTATTAAAATGCTGTTTTTATGTTTAAATAGAAAACAAACTTATCTTCTCATCACTTCCTCTTCTAAATGCCTTGAAATTGGCCTCTGTCTCTTTCAGAACCACCTTCCGCTTCTGTACCATACATTTAAATGCGGGGGTGGGGGTATGATCCATTTTACTTGGCATCTGAAAATACATTTCCTCAAAGGTATTTTTAATCTGAAAAGAGCTTCACTGAGTGAGAACTAGTGTTGGGAGCTCCGCGGACAGTTTGAGTTTCACTTTCAGTTTCACCCGAGAGCCTKCAGGAGTCATGGGCGGGGTGTGTGGGGAGGGGAGAGGGGCGGTGCTCCACCATGAGGAAGTTCAGCTTAAAGACACATCCCAGGGGCGTTTCTGGTTCCCACCTGTCGTTTTGCTCCTCAGCATGGCTACCTAAAAATGCTGCAGGATTTCTCAAACAGGCATGAATGAGTCAAAGCAAGCATGTTTTYATGAGAGTATAACATTATAACATGATATAAMACTCAAAAAAGTTGATTTTGCATAATATTGCCCCTTTAAAGCATTTTATTTTTGTAATCTCAGAGTGAAGAGAAGTAATCATGTGAGCCTGTAGTAGCCTTAATAAGCAGTGACATTTAATTTTCTATCTTGTCATTTCTAATGAATTGTTTTCCATGAATTATTGTGGGGTTTTTTTTCCATGTCAGGAATGGAACCACGGCACTCAGTTTAGATTGATCAATTTGATGTGCATTAATGAGGAACCTGGAGAAAAAGATCACGTGCTAGAAACACATATAAACTCTATACAGAAAAACCTGCACAGCCCAGGTTCAAACTGAAAACCTTATAGCATGTTCAGGCTAAAACATAACAGGAATACTACAGCTCTGATTGCACATCTCATATTTACCTCCCTCCTTTCACAGGCTGTTTGTGAACTTCCCCATCTCTAAGCAGTACTTCAGCCAGTTCAAGCACATCGAGGACGTGAGGGAGCTGGAGCAGAGTTCCCAGCTGAGGAAACATGCTCACAGGGTCATGGGTGCCATCAACACTTTGGTGGAGAATCTCGACAATGCGGAGAAGGTAGCATCGGTGCTGAAGCTGGTGGGAAAGGCTCACGCTCTCAAGCACAACGTGGATCCGATGTACTTTAAGGTATGGCAGGCAACAAATCAGGGGAAGTGATGGCTTTTTGAAAGTCAGTTCTGAGTGATAAGGAGAAAAACTGTATGTAAAGAAGAAAATGATAGACAGGACTGTTTTAAMGGGGGGTATTGTGCATTTTCCAGACAAATAAATCAATTCTATTCCACGATCAAGTAATTACCTTCAGCTGTTATGAAAATACTTCAAATATCAAAAATGATATAAACACCTTGAAATTGGCCTCTGTCTCTTTAAGAACGTCCTACCATTTCTGACACTCCCACTTCAGCATGCCTTCACAACAATGCTTCATGCTATTTGCAACCTTTTGTAGGAGTGTTGTAAGAACGTAGTCTCCTTGGCATCCAAAAATACATTTCTTTGATGAAGGCACTTTTTAATCCGAAGGGGACTAGTGTGAGAAATGATGTTAAAAGCTCAACTGACGTGCAGCTCCACCAGGTCTGGTGGAATTGTGTGGGGGAGGCGTGGGGGGAGGGGTGCCCTGTGGGGCGGATGCTCAGCTGGAGACTGGGCTCTGGGGAGGAGATTTGTGTAAACAGGTGGTGCTTTGTACCAGTAAGCGTTTAGGCAGCGCCACATGGCTCCCACAGGAGATTCAAGGATTTCTCAAATATGCATGAATGAGTCAAAGCAACACTCTGGTTATGTTTTTGATGAAGGAATGACAATCTAACATGATAAAAAGCTCCAAAAAAATGGATTTTGCGTTACCCCTCCCTCCCCCTTTGAGAATATTTCAGCTCTTTCAAAGAGGGTTGTGTGAAAAGAATACATACAGGGGCTAGAGAATGAAACTGAAACACCTGTCATTTTAGTATGGGAGGTTTCATGGCTAAATTGGACCAGCCTGGTGGCCAATCTTCATTAATTGCACATTGCACCAGTAAGAGCAAAGAGTGAAGGTTCAATTAACAGGGGAAGAGCACAGTTTTGCTCAAAATATTGCAATGCACACAACATTATGGTGACATACCAGAGTTCAAAAGAGGACACATTGTTGGTGCACGTCTTGCTGGTGCATCTGTGACCAAGACAGCAAGTCTTTGTGATGTATCAAGAGCCACAGTATCCAGGGTAATGTCAGCATACCACCAAGTAGGATGAACCACATCCAACAGGATTAACTGTGGACACAAGAGGAAAGGGATGTTATGGTCTAGGTGTTTCAGTTTCGTTGTCTAACCCCTGTAGATCAATGTCTCAACCTGTTGTAAATAGCTCATTGAGTGAACTCAGTTTTTAAAYGAAGAGTTTAATTCTCAGATTAATGAGCTAATGACTAGTCTGAGTGAGGCCAAGACCTGCATATATTATTGTGATTTTATGTTAGCAATCCACTATGGTCTTGGTTCTATTCGGGGTAGCCATGAGATTGAAARTCAGGTCAAAATTAAACTAAATTTCTCCAAAAAGAGCTCATTCAAAGAGATATCGACAGGTAAGATGTTAACTGTTTATAACRTCTCTACAGAATCCCACTGATCTGAACTGTCTCCTTATTACAAAAACTGAAATTATTATTCTCGGGCAAAATCCAGAAATGAAAAAAAAAAAAACTCCCTTGTTTTTCGGCTGCTTTTTGGAGTCACCTGATTGTGTTTCTGTCTCAGATTCTGAGTGGTGTGATTCTGGAGGTTCTGGGAGAAGARTATCCAGAGGTTGTGACACCTGAAGTGGGCACAGCGTGGACCAAACTCTTGGCCACTCTCTGCTACAGCGTCAAAGCCATCTACGATGAAGTGGGCTGGACGCCGCCGTCAGCCTCAACTGGCTGAAAGATTCAGATCCRGGCGAGGGATCTGTTTCATTTTCTGCAGCCTCGTGCATCAGGAATCAAGTGACTGTAATCTGACAGTACAGTTTTATTATAATCTATGATAATCATGGACTATGTAAAAGATACATAAATACATATATTATGAACAGAAATAGGAGCAAGTACTCTGCCCTTTTTTGTGGCTAGCAGCGTGTTTGTGAGAGAAAGAGAACTTAGAAGCTCCCTTTCTTGCATTTGTTCTCTTACTAACCCACTTAAAGACAGAGCAAAGAAGGCAAAAACAAGTGCAAACATAGACTTGACGGAGGAGGAGAGGTCAGATTGGAATCGGGCGTGCCTTTTACTGAATGTGTAGAATCTGAAATGTAAACAGGATTCTTTGTAAACATTATTGTTTTACAGATGTTTCCTCTTATCAATTTGTGTTTCACCAATGTCCACTTTGTTAGCTATTACTTAACATTTATCCTTTTTTAATACTTAATGGTGACGATTGTACTTTTTTCATTATAAATCACATTTGTTTTCATAACTGAGTACTTTGAAATAAAAGGTAGAATTATTTTAAATATCTGCTCAAAACACTTCTTTTTTAGCCTACTGCTCACTTACTTTCTTTAGTCAGCAGAACTAAATATAAGTGGCTTATCTATTTCAGTTCCTCTTTGTACCCTCATTAGTAACGTGCTTACTAGAGTAGGCTAGAAGCACTTTGCACTTAACCTCCTGCAATATTAAAGATCAACTGTTGGCTTGCATATTTGACCCAGGGGGTCATTTTATTCAGTTCAYAAATTGGGCTATTAAATAAAACAATTTGACACATTATTTAAACTAACCCTTTTACAGATACTAATAAGCATGAATATAGTWTGCTTATTTCATTTCATTGAAAAACACTTAGTTTAAACAGTGTACCATTCCAACCTTTCACRCTGAGGTAATTTCACAATTGAAATGTAAAATATCAATAAAACAAACATATAAATACATTTGCATATTGACATCTTCCTAAAATATTTGTCTAAGTCTTTTTTAAGATATTCAGGAAACACAAAAAAACTCATCAAAAATGTACAATTTTTCATTTTTTGAGATTCATAAAAAGTTGAAAAAAAGAATTACTTTAGGAAGGTGTAAGAATTAAAATGAAAAGTGCTAAAATTTGTGTTAAAATAACAAAAATGTGAGTTGGATTGACCTGACAATACAGACCAATGAACAACAGCAGGTCAGGCTATAGTAGCAAGGCTAAAACGCCTTATAAAAGTTCCACCAAAATGCTGTGTAACGTGACATTTTTACTAGACAGAATAATTATTCAAGATATCTTGATTATCCTTCTGACTAGTCAAAACTTTTCAATCAAAAACAAAACGGATGGAACACTGCATAACACTTATGAAAAATAAAATAATTAGTAAAATATTACATATTTAAGGCCACAAAGAATTGAAATAGCTAATATTGATTACAATGGTGGCCAGTCAAAGGATTTCCACCACACTCTGATGTTACAGGTTGGTATTTTGTTTTTTCCAGGCACATCATTCAATTATATACAGTACCACAATCAAGTAACCTTCAGTTGTCATGGAAATACAGTAAAAATCAAAAATCAATTTGATCTAAACGCCTTGGAATTGGCCTCTGTCTTTTTAAGAACATCCTACCGTTTCCAAAACTCCCACTTCAGCACTTTTTCAAACAATGCTTGGGGGGAGGGGTTCTCTGTGGAGGTGGAACTTGGCTGCCGACTGAGCTTCAGGGAGGAGCTTTGTGAAAATAGGTGGAGCTTTGTAACAGCAAGAGTTTAGKCAGCTCCATATGGCTACCACAGGAGATTCTCAAACATGCATGAATGCGTCAAAGCWACACTCTGGGTATGTTTTTGATGAGGAAATGACATTTTCACATGATATGACTCACAAAAAGTCTTTCTTTTAATAAAAAGTCTGAATAAGCTACATGATTGTACAAATGCAAAAGGCAAAGAGTGAATTGGAAKCATTCAGAAATACATTAACACTGATTGGTGGATCCCTGGACCGTTGCTTCCAAAATAGTTTCCTTTCTTGTGAGTAAAGACCGTAAAAAGGTTGGTTGGTCGTGCTGTGCTAACAACATGATGTGGGCTTTTTTCAGAGTAGCAGTACAGCCTGCTCTGTTTACCTCTTAGCCCTGCTGGCGAGCTCCAACCTGCTCCTTGATCCCAGCTAATCCTCTGTGCTAATCTCCCCCAATCATGAGTGAAAGCCAAGGCAGGAATAGATTGATTGTTCCTGCCCAAAGTCTGCCCGCTTCCCTTCAAGCCCGTCAATGGGGCGAGAAGCTTCTGGGCTCTGAAATAACAGCAGTCCCAGGGCCGGGGGGATCCTTGGGTCAGAACCATGTGCACAACTATGATGGTCCTCGCCACAATGGCTCTCATCCTGCGGCAGAGGTTCTCAAACAAAATCCAACCGTGAGTACCTAACAGAAACAGATTCAACTTTTTTTTATATAGATTTGGTCTTAATGTGTGCCATCTTTTGATTGGTTTTGGAGCAACTAGAAAAAGAAAAGTGCTTAATAGTTCACAGTATAAATTATATAAGATGCTTCCACCCAGATCTGAACAGTCACACGTACAGAAAAAAAAACATACCAGGAAAAAAATGCTTCTGTGTGGGAGAAAGTGTGAAGGAGAAAGGAGAGACTTGTCTGCACCATTGATTTAAAATTACCCCTGTGATTATTCTGGAGTTTGACTCGAGCAGCAGTGTGTGGATTAAGTTGATGGCTTCATAATAACCATGTGTTCCAGCTCTTTCTGAAGCAGTGATGAATGGAGGAGAAAATAGCTGAGCTCTTGAGTTCATGGCTGCTAATTGACTCAAAGTGCAATCTTCCCTTTTCTGGGCCTACTTACACACTCTCACAGCAATCACAAACAAATGGCACATGGTGATTGCACCAAAGAGCATGGGAACATCTGGCTCGCAACATTAGGAGTTGAGAAAAAGCAGAATCTCATTTATTGAGGATGTAATTAAAGAATTYAATGAAATTTAACATATCTACCTATCCATCCATTCAACAATCCAGCCATCTAATTTAACAGATTTTTTAAAATTTTGCATTAAGTTATTTATCTCCATTTGTAGACAGAAAGAAGATACTGAAATGGAAATGCCATACGTAAAGAGCAACGGGACAACAGAAACCCCAGAATGACATCATGGCAAGGTAAAAACACACAAATGAATTCTAGCAAGTTAGGAAAAACTTGTTTGATTAAACCCATGAAAAAAATGCATTTAGCTTTTCTTGGAATACTCAAATCCTGCAAATTTTTTGCATTTCTGGATTTGTTCAAAAGTCTTCACACGTACTCTTGGAGCAGCAAATATATCGAACATCATTTAATTTTGTAGTAAATTGAAAAGGCAGGAACCGAGCTCKCCTGCGTGCGCAAAAGTGGAGCAGTGGAGCACGTTGTGAAGGCACAGATGCACGAAGAGCCAAGACGCCTGCCCCACATTCAGCTTTTAAGTTCTGCTAATACTAAATGATTCAGAGGCAGAAAAACAATCCGTCATCACTTTGCATGGTTATAATAAATTCATTTTCTCACTGCAGCCACACTTATACACACGAATAAAATACACCCACTGACAAAGAAGAAAAAGTTAAGCACCTAGATGGAGTGGTGGAAATGAAATTGTACGTTGAAAGGTCATGTGACTGCTGCAATGATTATCCAGTATATCTTAACAAATAGACAATGAAGGTGGCAGTACAGGAACGTTTGGTCCCATTCCAGCAGGGTTTCAAAGCCACTCAGATCTGTATACAAGCAAAATTACAGAACAGATTCCTACAGCCAATGTAACTGGTCCTCTAATCCGGCAGATTGGCACAGGGATGTCCGAGCTAATCCCACATGTTTGATTGGGGAAAGATTGGGTGACCTGGCTTCCAATGGGATGGACTCAGTGTGACGTAGGTAGTCTGTACATGTGCCATGAGCGGACGGGCACTGCTCTGTTGACATGTCAACCCTTTCTGATGTGTATACTGACCTTCAGAAATCCAAACATTTAACAAAAAATCCGTAGTATTCTTAAGTGATACAACTATACATCATTTGCGATGGAGCAGGTAGTCTTACAGTCTAGTGGGTGTAGAAAGAGTGAGTGAACTTTGCATATTTTACAGCATTTCTGCTGTAAAAGAAATACAAAGTAGAAGTTTTGAAAAATTTGGTGGGATTTTCTCTATATGTCTATATACTAGGGGTGCAACAATACATGTACCTGTATCGAAACGAACCGTATCGAACAGTGCTTTAGGTTCAATACACACTTGTATTGAACAATACAGATTTTTAAAATTTACTTTWTCAACTTGTCTTCTGAAGATGCTCTGTGTTAAAGGATCAGTGGATCTGTGTTCGACTACGCCACCTAGGCTGCATTTTTGAGTGCAGATCCACTGAGAAACTTGCTGTTTCAGCACCATTTAATTTAAAAACTGTACTTTTGAGGTTAAACAAAATGTTCGTAATTAATTTAAATAAATTACAAGTTAAAATGGGCATGGAAATTTCTCTTTTTTTTGTATCGAAAAAATATAGAACCGTGAGACTAAATTATTGAACCGAACCATGAATTTTCTGTATCTTTGCACCCCTACTATATACATGCAAAATGTGGGGGAAATCCATGTATTTTATGGACAATCTGTATGCTGGGATGTCACTGACTGTGCTGTCAGGACCTCCAGAGATCAAGAGTGACCTCAGGTTATACCATATGGCTCCTCACACCATGATGTCGAACATGGAGTCTGGCTGTTATCAGTCATGGAAACATGTGGGATGACATGGTTCCCCAAGTTTGAATAGCAGGTGAATATATATTATGGTGTTCTGTAATGTTTGGTGGACAGTGCAACAATCCCCCAATAGTATGGTCCGTCTTCAACCAGAACCTTCACATCTTGTGTTGTCTCTCTGCTGTACCCAATGGGTTCAACGTCAGGTCACTGTGACTTCTACACATGATGGACATCCATCCATCCATGATCTATTCTTCCTTTCAGGGTCACGGGGGTCACTGTTGCCTATATATCCAGCAGACACAGTGCGATTGGCGGGGTACACCCTGGACAGGTCGCAAGTCCATCACAGGGACACACAAACAAGACAGACAACCATTCACTCTCTCACTCACACCTAGGGACAATTTAGAGTTATCAATTAACCGAACAATTATGTTTTGGTCTGTGGGARGAAGCCGGAGTACCCAGAGAGAACCCATGCATACGTGAAGAGAACACGCCAACTCTAGCCAGAAAGGTCCCCAGGCCGGGATTTGATCCGGCAGCCTTCTTGCTGAGAGATATCAGCTCTAACAATTGAGTCACCGCCCATGTTGGACAATTGCACAATAAAACCACCAGCAAACCYCACATTTTCACCTCTATTAAACTCCATCAGGTGCTTTTAATGCTGTMTAATGTGTCTGATGATGACCTTTACTGAATGTTCTTTACTGACTCCAGCACCTTCACAAGACAATCGTTC